TTATCCAACTCGGCTTTGCCTCGTTGGACAATTTTCACGTCGCGTACCTAAAAGACGCTCATTTCGTAACTTATTATATAAATAGCTATTTTAATTTTTAGTAATTTCGTACCAAAATTCTCTTCTCTGTCTCTCTTTAGCACATAAGGTTCTTATGGAAAGTGCCAATAATAGAAATTTTTCGAATAAGTCCGATACGTCATAGGTTTTAGAACATCAGAGGCTTATAAAATCTAAAATAAAAAACAAGGATCCCTATTTAAAAAAATATATATTTTTTTTTTATTTCATTTTATTCACCTTAGATTTACAATGTCAATGTGGCTTTGTCACAATATTGAATCATGATAATAGTAAAAAATGTAGTAATAATCAAAAAATAATAGTAGGTACTTAATAATAAAAAATTAACAATAATAACATCAAGTATTTCAATAAACTTAATATATAAACAGTCACAACAATTATTATATAACATAGAGCAACTAAATCGCGTTGACGTAGAGAGACATAGTATTAAACATTCCCATTTACATTTTTATTCATAAAGTCACTAAAGGAATAGAAATAATTTTCGCAGAGAAATTGCTTGAATCTTTTTTCAGTCTGTTCAGTCTTTATTTCTTCTGGTAGTCTATTGTAGACCTTTATACATGCATATTGAGGAGACTTCTCAAATAAAGCAGTGCTATGTCGTGGAAGGCTAAGTCCGTTGCTTTTCCTGGTAGAATATAGATGATTTTCTCCATTTTTTAGAAATCTATCTTTGTTTTTATATACATATATCGCACACTTATATACCGGGTGTCTACGAGATCAGTTTCGCGCTGGCATTTGCTGGTTTTTTTTTTGATGGCAAAGATTTTTGGTATAGAGTGTAGGTTTGAGAAATGTCATATTTTGACATGTGTGTCAATGTTTGGTAACTTCCAGTTTGACCGGAAATGGTCCTAACTCCGTAATTTTGAATGGCATCCCAATAATTTTTTCGCATTTTTGGTATCTGCGGATCATGATGTGTACGAAAACGTCAAATTTGAACATTTTTGAAGAAGTTTTAGAACTCTGGATGAAAATTTATTTTTGAATAGAAAGTGACGGAGCGGTCCTAAAATTGTTATTTTCAACCCACACAATCGTAGAAAAATGCGAGTGCCAAGATGTTATCCTTTGCTTGCTCTCCAAAGGCATCCAAAGTTGAAAAAATCACATTTTGCGTGATAACTCAATGAAATCAGTGAAATCACCCAACTTTCACAACAAGAGTTTTTTACCTTTTTCAAAATAAAACGAACTATGCATTGAAACTTTTCATTTATGTTAGTTTTTAATTATTTTCTCATTATTTTTATAATGCACTACTATAAATGATAGAACTACTTATAAATGAACCCCTGTATGAAGAAAGCTTTTCAAAAGGAGCTGGTGTTTTTTTTTCTTGACAAGCCATTGACAAGATCTGTGGGCAAGCAAGATATGTTTATTTGTCATTGTTTGACATCTCGGGAATTTGTAAATACAAAGTTTGAATACAGGGGTTTATTTATAAGTAGTTTTATCAGTTATAGTAATGCATAGTGAAAATATTGGAAAAATAATTAAAAACTGGCATGAATAAAAAGTTTTAATGGATAGTTGGTTTTATTTTGAAAAAGGTAAAAAACATTTGTTATGAAAGTCGGGTGATTTCACTGATTTCATTGAGTTATCACGTAAAATGTGATTTTTTCAGCTTTGGAAGCCTTTGGAGAACAAGCATAGGATAATAACTTGGTATTCGCATTTTTCCACGATTGTGTTAGTTGAAAATAACAATTTTAAGACCGCTCCGTCACTTCCTGTTCAAAAATAAATTTTCATCAAGAATTCTGAAATTTCTTCAAAAATGTTCAAATTTGACGTTTTCGTACACATCATGATCCGCAGATACGAAAAATGTGAAAAAATTATTGGGATGCCATTCAAAATTACGGAGTTAGGACCATTTCCGGTCAAACCGGAAGTTACCAAACATTGACACACATGTCAAAAGATGACATTTCTCAAACCTACACTCCATACCAAAAATCTTTGCCATCGAAAAAAAAACTCACCAAATGCCAGCGCGAAACTGATCTCGTAGACACCCGGTATATAGATGGACGGAAGAGTAAGTAGTTTTTGGTCCTTGAAGGTTGGACTGCAGCTTTCCTGTGGTTTAAGGCCATATATTAACCTTACTAACCGCTTTTGGATGATGAATACTCTACCCACGCCAACAGGTTGTCCCCATAGAATGATATTATAAGACATGTGATGGTAGGCTAGGGCATAGTAAGCTGACAATAGCGCGTGTCTTTTGACGACTTGTCTAAGCTTGAGTAGGGCAAAATAGGCGGAATTGAGTTTGGAGCATACATGATCCACTTGAGTGTGCCATTGAAGTTGTTTGTCAAGATAAGTTCCTAGAAATTTTACAGCTTCTTCGGTTTCCTTGAGCTCAATTTTCGGTTTGGAGTTATAAAAATGTATGGTTACTGTTTTTGAGAATAAGCTTATTACTAAAACACGAGGAACTCATATGGTCACAAATTTCATCCAACTTCTTCATCGCTTCTTTTTCGTTATCAGCCGATATAGCTGCAGTTGTATCATCCGCAAACTTAATTGTAAGGCCAGGTAGTTTTAGGTCATTGATGAAGAGCAGAAAAATCTGCGGCGCCAGCACTGAGCCCTGGGGTGCTCCAATATTAACAGAGTGAGTGTCAGACAGATCTTCTCCCAGTCTCACCTGTATTTTTCGCTCTGATAGGAAGGACATTATTAAAGAGAGTGTTTTACCTCGAATTCCAATGGATTCCAATTTTAACCTGACAAAAGCTAAGTCGAGAGAGTCAAATGCTCTGGACAGGTCAAAAAACAATCCAATTACGATTCTGTTTTGTTCCAGTTGTGCGTGGATGTACTCAATAAACTCGTACGCAGCAGTTTCCGTCGATCTTCCAGATCTAAATCCATGTTGTGATGCATCCAAGATTTCAAATCTTTCTAAGAAGTGGGTTATTCTACTGTGTAGTACCTTTTCAAATATTTTTGAAAATACGGATAATATGGATATAGGTCGATAGTTTTCGATATCCGTTGACAGGCCTTTTTTGAAAACAGGAACTACGGTAGCTAGTTTTAAGCTGGATGGAAATACTCCCTCAGAGATTGATTTATTCACTAGTACTTCTAAGGGGTGAGACAATTCAGGACAGACCCTCTTTACCACACTGGTATTTATTCCATCAGGGCCACAACTTGTTTTGTTTTTGAGACCTATGATGATGTCGGCAATTTCTGTTGGAGTCACTGGATAGAGGAAGATGGTGTTTTCGACCAGATGCGAGGTGGTTGGAAGATTCGAAACAGTGGCACCGAAATGGCTTGATATTTTTATTTCCGCAACATTCGAAAAAAATCTACCAAAGTAGTTTGAGATTTCTTTATCATTTTTAATTAGGGTACCATCGATTTTAAGGTCGATTTTTTTGGAATGCTTAACTCTGCCCAACTCATCATTTACAATGTTCCATATTTCTTTTGTTTTGTTAGATGACTCTATAATCTTTTGCTCATTAAAATTTATTTTCGCCTGTCTAATATTTTGCCTATACTTTTTTCTCTCTTTATTGTAGTCTTCCTGACCTGCCCTAGAGTTCGTTTCCCTTGTTAGATTATAAAGTTGCTTTAACTCTTGCTTTTGATTCTTTAGTTCTTCAGTGATCCAGTGTGTTTTTTTGTCTTTTTTATTATTTATATTAATTCTTTTTACGGGGCATGTGGTATCGTAATGCCATTGGAGTGTTTGTAGAAAATTATCAAATGCGGTTTCCAGTTCTGGCATATGAATATTTTCCCAGGTTTCCAGTTTCAGGTTGTTTTTGAACCTGTTCAAATTGTCATGGGATTTTATTCTGATATTTTTAAATATTGGAGTTATTTCGTTTGCATCCTTTGCTGATAGATTAACTTCAAGTCACTGTAGAAGATGGTCTGATATGTGGGCTAATAAAGTTGATGATGGCCGCCCAAAGACGAAACATCTAATCTGAAATTTGGTAGCAACATCTTGTAAAGGGGGAAAACTGACAACGATAAAGTGATATTTATTTTAAAATTGCTCTTTAAATAGACTCGGGAAAAAATAAAAATGAATTTGCATAATTTCGGTTTTTTCCGAATATCTTCGGAAGTATTCGGAATTTTCAAAATTTCAAAACGGCATTTTATTAGTTATAAAATTGTGCAACTTTGCCATAATTTAACCGACCTCGTATCTCTTATAGTTTCCGATATCTTAATGGTCACCCTCGAATTTGGGACACCTACATACACTGGAATCACTATCACATTTATTTCTTCAAGTTTACATTCGATACCTTAAAATTCAAATATCCCGCACTCTGACATGTTAGTTAATTTCGTTCTAGCTTTAGCTGTCACTGTATGTCTCGCATATATTGCTGATCCTCCATAAGAGAAATATTAAAGTGATAAAACTCAAATATTTTACTCCCCATTAAAAACAATATAGAATAAAATGAACTGAATCTTAGAAGTGTTAATTTTTTCGGTAAAAATTTACTGATTATTAGATGGTAGTTGTTGTTAACGTTACAGGCATCAACAAGTCTCTTCTTGGTAACTCCTAAAAAGTCCTCTAAATCAATATAGGTCTGTTTCTGCAGAAATCACAAATCAGAGTGAATTTCATTGGTTGACACTACTTTGTAGTTTTCTGACTGTTTTCAACCAATGAAATTTGCTCTGACTGATTTGTAGTTTCTGCAGAAACAGACTTTATTTTATGTTAACTTGTGATTACCTTTCCTTCTCTTCACAAGGAAAAAAAATCTTATTTAATAAATAAATATTCGAATCACAGTGATTCCTGTATCATTAGCAGATTGCTAATATGTTTTATTTCATTTCTTCTGTATGTAATATACAATTTTTTTATTAAAACATTTTTTCAGATTGAAGAAATGTTCCCTAACATCGAAAAAGAAGTGGTGAAGACTGTGTTTGAGGCTAACAGAGGAAACAAAGACAGAACGATCAATTCGCTCTTGCAAATGTCCGATTGAAATCTCAAAGTTTTATTTGCGCCATAATTATAATATTTTATCCTGTGATTAATTTTATTAATTATTATAAATGTAAGGTATATTATGCTTTTATCATACAAAATTTGTATAAGGTGCCAAACTGAATGGCAATTTTTCTGTTTTTAATTAATACCTATATGATAATCTTATAAATTATTACATTAATATATTGTTGAAATATTAATTTATTTGTTTTATTTTTCTAATATGTATTATAATTTAGAATGTTTTTTGATATGAGCAAAATTATATCTATGTAATTTATTACATACCTATTTACAAAAGTCCAGTAAATAAATTAGTTTAGTACAAATACTAAAAAAGCTTAAGGAACGCATGATAAACTTTGGTATAATGTATTAAATTTAATTCCATACTTGTTTGAAATCAAAAAGAAATATTGAGTTTTCACAAAATTTGGAATCACTTATTAGGAAAGTAATTATTAATGACTAAAATCAATTATGTGAACATGAATTTGAAATTGAATTTTGATAAAAATTGACTCCTAATGCAGTATGAAATGTACATATTATAGTACAAAACTAAAATTACACAAAGGAACTTAAAATCTCAAAAAACACTATTGCACAAACCTAATCAAAAAATATATATATATATATATATAATTATTGGTCCTTAAAACTTAACAATTATTGTAAAACGTGTTTTTATAGGGATAATCTCAAATCAATTTTGTTAATAAATTATTATAGTTTCTTGTTCCAACAAATACCGAATCATTTGTTAGCTGTTCTTGGTAATTTTCTTCAAAGAAACTTCCATTGCAACTTTACCAGACAACACTCCGTGCATTTCAATGGGGCTCCACAGCGTCGCCATCAAAAAGGCAAAAAACGTAAGGCCGGTCAATAAAACTCTGCAAACTGAAAATATTATTGGGTTGTCAGTTACAACGGGCACGGTATAAACTGCTGGGAAAACTAGACTGCATATTATAAAAATGCACATGAATACAACAATAAACCAATAAAATATTTTTGCATTTGCAATACTTTTCAAGGCATCCTTGCAAAGGTCTATGCATTCTTCTAGGACTAATTTTTTCGCCGCTTCATCTGGCTGATTTAAACCTGATTTTGAGTTGTGCGATATTGATAATTCAACCAATACACCTTCATGATCAGAGTAACTAAAAAAAAATATTAAGTAAACAAAAACTAAAATATTTTTGTTATTTTACCTAAAAGATTTTTTAGGTACTCTTTCTAACATAGGCAAATCATAGCTTTTCAAGTTGATTGTAACATTTGTTCCAGGATGGTACATAACATAATCAATTCTTTTACCCAGCTTTTGCGTTTTAAGCAACATTGGCGGTGTATAGCTGTTCCTGAAACTATCACAAGTTGCCATTTTCTCTTGAGGCACATCTCTGGCTTGCACAAAGGAATCTACCAATCCTGGCACAGTTAAAATTACTCTGTAAGGCAAATCTTCCGGTTCCGTATTAAGATCGCCGGCTAATACAATTAAATCTGCAGATTGTGAGGTGAGCAATATAAATTGAGCTGTGTCGTAAGCTTGTAAGACACGATGAGCTTGGTACTCGTCAGAAGCACGGTTATATTCGGCGTGTAGCTAAAATAATTAGTTGGAAATGTTGGAATATTGTAGATTTTGGATTATTTGTCTTACATGGGTTGTATAAACGTTAGCAAAGTAAGTATCCTTGTCATCTACGATTTTCAAGCGGCAAAGGCCTACGCCTTTTCCTCCAAACCAATCTGCGTGTTGTAGTTTGTGAATGTAACCGTTAACGGACCATTGATGGAAAAAGGTTTCTTCGATTGGGTGTTTTGATAGAATGCAAATTCCTGAACCTACTACACCACTAAAAAATTATCTAGTCATAAAGGTATTTTTATGGTAAATAAATTGCACAAGGCTAACAATAAACAAAGAAATGATGTCATCTGAATGAAGGTTATTTCAAAGGTATGAGAAGGCTTTTGAAGCAAATTCTCACCTATAAAAGTAATGAGAATAGGGTAATAAGTCAATAAGTGTCTCTTGTAGAAAATTAAAGTCTCTCATCAGCCAAACTTCCTGAAGACATACGATATCAACTGGGTTTGCCAATAACCATTCTCCTATAGCTTCGAACCTGGATTTTCTGTTTTTTGATAATAAAGCAAGCCCCCTTAAAAGTTTTATGTAATATTTAAGTTCAAAAGTTAAGGTACAATAGGTACTTTGGTACTTACCAGCAGTTTAGGGTAAAAATTTTCAACTGAAGAGGCATTTTGGTCAATTTAATATATGTACATGAAATTTTGGGAAAACTATGATACTTTACTTATCCTATATCCTAGTTTAATTTTTCTTTTTATTAATTTTTGCCATATTATTCTGATCGGACACGACACGATTTTCAAAAAAAAAATATTTATCCAATCATCTGTGATCCCCCTTCCTCAGGAATCTTAACAAATCCAGTACATGTTTATCTCTTTTTAAAGCTAAGAAAGAAAAGGATAACATATTCAATAAAGTAAATTCAGTGAACTCACTTTGGGGGTTTTCAATAATATGCTAGACAAAGAGAGCATGTTTATAGGATACATTTAGCCGTTTAATCTAAATACTTATTGTATAAAGCCTAGTACTCATAACTGCGAAATTCGCATTTTTTTGACATTGCGTTGACAATTTGACGTTTTATGCGTGTATCAAAAGTCAAATTGTCAACACAATGTCAAAAAAATGCAAATTTCGCAGTTATGAACTAGGCTTAAGAAATGCGGAAAGTGATACTTTACCGCAAGGCATTATCGAAATGAGAGAAAGGACTTTTGAATATAAATCGATACCAAAGTCTACTTTACCGCACGGCGCATGTGGTAGAGTAACTTTACCGCTACTTTCCATTTGTAAATAAGTGTGGGTAAAGTGCACTTTCTGTACGCTCGTAGGTCAGGGTTGCCAGATCTATGAAATGAAAAAGACTGTACTCATCCAGGGATGCGATTTTCGAAACCATTCGAGTACATTTCGTACACGAAATTTGATTGACAGCAATGTAAATTAAATGGGAAGCATTCGAAATCGTATCAAAGTTCGTATGCGAAAATATTCGAAAATACGACCCAGATGAGGGAAAGCTCGAATTTTTTTCGGGTACCACGCCAAAAAACCTTAAGGGGGGGGAGGGGCAAACATCATTATCTATATGCTAGAGTGGCAAAAAGTAGCGCATAATAGGGCTGTTCGCACAGCAATCACAAACCAGTCAGAGCGAATTTCATTGGTTGAAAACAATCAAAAACAGTTAGAAAACTAATTTCAACCAATGAAATTCGCTCTGACTGGTTTGTGATTTCTCTGCGAACAGACCTATTACCTATAACTTTTTGTATGAAAAAAGGTCCTTAAAAGCTAAAGGTTGTTTGTATTACTTCTTCGCCACTCTGTATATGTATAGACAACTAAAAAATAACAACTTTACTTTAATTTAAATTGTCATATTTTTGACATGATGGATACTTTTCTTAAGATATCATCTGCGTCCCCACTTTTCAAAAATAATATAAAGTCTGTTTTTTTTTAAAGATAATTCCCCAAGTCAAAAATTTAGTAACTACGTTGGCAACACAAGCCTTTCCAATATAAAAAATTTCAAAGCATTGACAATTTTACATTGTTTTGCCAACATAATGTCATTTTGACTTTTATCTTTAAAAAAAAAATCTTTACAACTCATTTTAAAATTAGTTTTAATCATAAGCTCTGCCTCCAAAGTCTTATGGCCGTTTCCACCAACTATTTTAGGAAAGCCTTAACGATAAGTATTTCCTAAACCGACATTTCTCCATGAAAAACTGTCAGTTTAGAGAATACTTATCGTTGTGGCTTCACTGAAATAGCTAGTGAAAATGGCCATTAATGTCTAATTTATTTCTCTGTTTTCTCCATGCGGTAGTCATAAGGCTAAAAATTCTCTCAGAAGACGCATTTGAATGTGGGATTGATAAAATCGTATTATGGCTTTTCAAAATTGTTTTTAACATGCTAAATCCTAAAAAAGATATTTTATCACTAGTGACGAAAGTGACCCATATTTTTCCGCAATTGTTAGGTAAATAGCTATTTCGGCAAAGGTAAAATATGACGAAAGTTGATTAGTTTCTAACGCTCATAGCAAAAAGGTTTTTTGACGAAAGTTATTTATTTTTCAATGGCCAGAAAAAAAGTTTTTTGCAGATGCTAGTTTGTTTGTGCAATGAAAGATTTGGATTTTGTTGGAATTTTTGACATTTTTATACCTACAAAATACAACATTTATTATATGGGTAGTTGCACCAACACTTTCTGATCTTGGTTTAACAGTAATCTTGGTTTAAACCAAAGAAATCCATTACACCGTTTCTTGAACAAAGTTTAATTTGATTTGAACTTGGTTCAACTTAAACGGTGATTTTTGATGGTTTAAAGAGAAGTTTTACTAATTGAATGCGCAGAAAGGAAATTCGCAAAGTGTAATGACATGCCGACTGTCGTTGTTTACGGAATATGTTCATGTGTTGTGAGAATTTCATTATTTATTAATAGGTATTTGATTTTTAAATCCAATAATCAATCTCGATCGAAATTTATGTGCAAAATAAAATATGTAGATGAAACAAATATCCCGTCCTTCAGAGGCGCGGTTACGAGCAATGAAAAACAAAACACTTGGAAGAAAATAATACCTACAGAAGTATATAACAGGGCGGGGCCTTCTTGTCCAAGAGCTGTAGAATGTTTAAAACGTTGCTAAATAGGAAAATAGAAAAAACTATTGAGAAAATCAGTCTCTTTTTTACTTGGTGCTAGACAGTGGATCCATTTTGTCAAATAAAGCAAAGTAGCAGAGAGAAACTACAAAATACAAAGGGGCCACTGCTTCACTTCGGAAAGGCTCGCAAAAAATAATTCGCTTTCTAGGACAGGTTATATTTTCTATTTTTGCTTTCATATTTGACAAATTTTCAACACATTTGCCAACCTAAACGAAAATAATCCTATAAATTACTAGTTTAATCAAACCGAGCTTAGTTGTGTGTCGTGCAATGACAGGTCAAATGATCGGGGTTTATTTTTGAATCCCAGTTTTATTAAACTTGGATTAACAGAATTTTGGTGCAACTAGCCATTATCATTCAAACCCAAGAATCGTAAACTAACAGGATTGCTCATCCTGAGAAGGCGTACGTTCGCCGGTTTTCGAGTCCACAAGGTCTGCGTGCGACGTCACCACGTCAGCAGCTAATAGTGGTGACGCCACCCGCAGACCTTGATGAAATGCTTGCGACTCAGGCTCGTTATTTCATTTTTACGTCGATTTTAAATGTAGAAATAGGTATTTATGTAACAAGTTGTAAAATGAGCGTGTTTTTTACACTATGTGAAGATTAGGTGGAAAAAGCGGGAAAACCGGGACAATTCTCGTGAAAAGCGGGACTTGAAATTAATAAAATAAAGGCGGGACCGATTAACAAAATGCGGAACTGTCCCAAGGAGAATACACACTTTAGGAGTGCTTATCGGCCTCGTTTTTAGTAATCGCCGCCATACTGATTTTCAACTGTTTTCAACTATTGCCGACGTCATCACTTAAGTCATCAGCTGTTTAAACAGCCTACGTTAGGCGAGAAACGCCATGCTGTTTACGTCACAACTGGTTATTTGGCATAGGGGGGTAGGGGGGGATTTGTTACACACAGGCCTTATGAGGATAGGCTATCCTGTAGTAGTAGTGCGTATCATCCTTGGGACTGTCCCTCCTAAAGCCTAGTACTCATAACTGCGAAATTCGCATTTTTTTGACATTGCGTTGACAGTTTGACGTTTTATGCGTGTATCAAACGTCAAATTGTCGAAGCAATGTCAAAAAAATCCGAATTTCGCAGTTATGAGTACTAGGCTTAAGGTGGGACGTCTGGCAACCCTGTCGTAGGTATAATGGATGTATGGAGAGTGCAGATTTTCTGAAGTTGTCTTTTTTGAGAAACAATAAAATTCTCCATCGTATACCAATTTATTAGGTTTATATTCGGAGTTTTTAGGAATGAAACTTGGAATTTTTTTTTATGGAGTACTTGTACAAGAAAATTAAAGTTTCAAACACATTTGTTGGACTTGGACAATCACTCTGCAACTGAAGTTATGATTTTTTTCAAACAAATCTGAATAGAACAATTCACCCAGACAGCATACAAAGTCTTGAAGACGTCTTTTTTAGGCCTGCAATTGCGTCTGAAGACTAAAAAAAGACGTCTAGAAGACGTCCATAAGATGTCGTAAATTCACATCTTAAAGATAACTGAGCCACAGGATTTGTTGGTTCTACCGGGCCTAAAACTAAATAATGGTTTATAAAAAAAGATTCAAAGTCGTCTTTAAGACATCTCGTATTGAAGACGTTTTCAGAATTAATCTGAATGTATTGGAAATGTTATAAATAAGACGTTTTTAGGCAGACGTTTGAGAGACGTTGGGTTTTGTAACATACGACGTTTTTAAGATGCCTTGAATACGTAAGCAGGCGTCTAAAAAACGTCTTGAATGTCGCTTGTAGAGATCTTAGGGACGTTTTCAAGATGTCTACAAAAAATTCCTACAGAATTAGTTTTTCATTCAATTTAGAAGTTACTGGGAACCTTAGAGCAGGTAATTTCCTAGGTAAGAGAGGAGTAGGAACATATGGAGTTGGAAAATGAAACCTTTTTTTTCTATGTATTTTGGAATCTGACAGCCATCCAAAATAATGGCGGTATACCCAATTCAATACTTTTTAAGCATTTTTAATACCCATTTAGAATAATTTCATCCTTATTTAGCGATCACGAATCAGATGAAACAAATAATTACCAAGTGAACAAAAACGTTATTTGTGTGTTCAAGAAGCGACATACGTTTAGTCACTAGAACGACTGTTACTTCTAAAGTCGTGATCGTTTTTGTCATCTTCGTCGATTTGCTCCGGAATTTTGACAGTCACGTGATTTGTACATTGAAACCTAAGATTGAAACTGTCTGATCCAGTTACGTGCATGTCAAAATTTCGGAACAAATCGACGAAAAAGATGACAAAAACGAACACAGCCTTAAGCTGCTTTCCAGTGCCTAAATTGTTAGAGTATCATGCTCCTGGAGTGTGACGCTCTTGAATTGTTCGACATAAGCAGCACTGGAACGCTCTCGTCCAATGAACTATAACCAAAAACTGGAATGCGTACACATATTGACGAACGTGAGGCCTAGTGCCGCTGCTGCGGAGGGGATACCGGTTTTTGTCGCACTCATTACGTTAAATAACAGAAATTGCTTCCCACACGTATTCCAATTGATGAAATTTGTGAAGGTAAATATGCGAAAACATTCCAAAACGTCATATGTCAGCAAGCAACAGAAAAGAACAACATTCCCCTTTGTGGCATCTGTCTTTCATGGCTTCATTTTTTTGGCAGATATGGCAATAGTTGTATTCCTTTCACACCTAGGAGGAGCTCCGGAACAGCTCCGGGGCTTCATGCGCTTATTCCTTTCGAAAAGTGTTTGTTGCACCACGCATAAGTTCCCTGCAAATCGGGGGCGACTAAGCACCGAAGCGAGTAGCTCGAGTGTTTCAAGCTCTTGAAAGGAATACAACTATTGTGTGCGCATTCCAGTTTTTGAATATTCATTGCTCTCGTCTTAACCCCCACCAAAGAATTTCGGACTTCTGGAGCATGGAACACCGAAATAAAGGTTGGTGCACGAGGGGGCAGGGGATAACAGAAATGAGTAGTTCAAGTGCACGACACTCCTAAGCACTGGAACGCGCAAAGCAATTGTGGAGCACTCCTGAGCTGCTTAGGAGTAACTCAAAAAGGTCACTGGAAAGCAAGGAGAATACACACTCTAAGGAGTGCTTATCGGCCTCGTTTTTGGTAATCGCCGCCATATTGGTTTTCAACCATTGCCGACGTCATAACTAAGTCCTCAGCTGTATGAACAGCCTACGTCAAGGTGAGAAACGCCACGCTATTTACGTCACAACTGGTTGTTTGGCGAAGGGGGGTAGAGGGCATTTGTTACACACAGGCCTTATAAGGATAGGCCATCCTGTAGTAGTGTGTATCATCCTTGACTGAAAAGCACCTCTTTAGGTATTAAAAAATTTATACCTGTCATTTGGTGTACAAACATCTGATAAAAACTGGCCTCAATTTTAGTTTTATAGCAATATGGCACATTCCTACTAAATCCTACTCCTTATGTCCGCAGGACAGAGCTTCACCTGCTCTTAGCTACAGTGGCTAAATAAACCTTTACATACAGTGGCGACAATAGAGATCCCGCCGCCATCTTGTTCCCAACCTCTTGTTACTTTTAAATATTAATATATAGGATTTAAATGGACATCTATCATAAAAAATTGAAATCGACGTATTTGATGACCATGATTAGGTCCATCAAATACGTTGTTTTCCATGATTTATGATGGATGTTCACCTAAATCCCATATATTCATATTTAAAAGTAACAAGAGGTTGGGAACAAGATGGCGGCGTTTTCAATATAAATATATGGGATTTTAGAACCAATCAAAAATAAGACAGCAATTGTCGCCACTGTAGTAATAAAGTCACTGTACTCTTAGCTGGGAACCATTTAAAATGCTACAGAACACCTTAGAACTTTAAAGGGGGGTGTGCGCCAAAAATTAAAGTTAAAGTGTGTAAAAATCTAAGAATAACTGTTCAAACCTCGTTATTCTACGACAAATTATCGCTGAGATAAACCGCGTTAAAGTATGTGTGACGTCACGAGAGCTTCGTCCAGCCGCGCTCCACATCGTTCATCTGATTTCTCTTGGCACGCATCAGTAGCTTTTGTTTAGATTATTGCAGATGGCACAGGAAAGACATATGTAAATTCATTGGACTTCATTATCTCCTGCGGCGCTTGAACTCTCGTGACGTCATAGGGTGAGACGCGGTATATCTAGAGAGCCGTATCTTCGTTATTAATTGGCATAGAGGGGTGCGGTTTTCACTGTTAAGGTTATTCATAGATTTTTTTTCTTCTTTTTTTGAGATTAAGTTGTTTTTTTGGCGCACACCCCTTTTAATAATAAGCCTTTTCGAAAGTTCATAAACACTTAAAATTCAAATCAGAATTTCGAAAAGCATTCTGTATACCACTTCAGAGAACAATTTGGAAACTTCAGAACAATTTTAGAATGCTCTAAAACATTCAGAAAACGATTTACAATTTCCAAAAGCATTTTTAAACAAATCAGATAAGTTTGAAACCTATTTCAGGAGGCTCCAAAACACTCAATCTCCAGAAACATTTTGAAAAGTGCCAGAATCTTAGGATTCAAGTTAAAAGTTACAAAACCCTTTTCAGGAACGCGTTCAAGAGCGAACTTAAATAGCTGTAGAATTTTAAACCTTTATAATAAGTATCCAAAACAGTTCAAATCCAAATCAGAGGTATCAGAAGCATTTTAGAAACTTCAGATGAGTTATGTCAGAACAATTAGGATTCAATTTAGAACCAACTGCAAACCTTCTACAGCTCATTTGAACCAATTTAGAACACATTTAGAACGTTCCAAAACACTTTCCAGCAGGATTTTGAAAGGCTTCAGAACAATTTAAAAACCTCAGAATTATTTCAGAAAGCCTCTAGCGCCTGGAATAGATGAAAATTGAAAAGTATAAAATGAGTAATAAAGAAATATGTCTCGAAGACGTCTTTAGGCAGACGTTTGTTAGGGTTTCCATAAAGGTTTTTCGGAATTCAGGACAAAGGAGTCAAGAAATCCGGACAAAATCCGGACTTCGCCGAAATAGCTATTAGGAGTGTGTAAAGTGAAAGGCGAGTGCGACAAAATTCACATTCGTGAAAAAAGGTTCACTTTACACACGTATTGCATAATACCAATACCTATACTAAAAAATTTCTACTATAAATAAAATATATGTAAAACAATAAATTTAGACAAATACTTTACGCACTAGTGCGTAAAGTGAAGTAATTTACTAGAAAAAAATTACATTGTCGACATCTGTCATTGACATTATTTCACGCGCTAGTAGGTAATTTTTCGCGAGGATAATCAAGCATAATCTGATTATGCTGTGCTGGGTTATGTGATGTGTCAACAGTGTCATTCTCTTCCAAGAATATTCTCTCCTAACTCCCTCACCATTCAATTCTGGGTCTGCGAATGGCGTCACTACCAGCAGCTTATAGTGATGACGTCACCCGCAGACCACGATGGAATGCTTGCGATTCAGGCTGTGCTAGTGAGTTAATTTTTTCGTCGGTTTTAAATGTAGAAAAGGTGATTTTCGGTCTGTTATCACAGAAGAAGTTAAGTGTTCTTGATCCTCGAGTATCCCAGAATCTGATAGTGGGTGAGTTAGGAGAGTATGACACAATTGACACATCACATAATCCAGCATACTCGAGTATGCTTGGTTATCCTCGCGAAAAATTGCCTAGTATGTAAAGTGGCTTACTTTACGTACTAATGCGTGAAGTAAAATTTTACGTCTTTTGGATAGTCCGTGTAAACTGAGTATGAGTGTTTTCATGATCTCCGAGTTTTCCGGACGTTGTTCCGAATTCCGGCCGGACTTCTCCGGACACCCTAAAAACCCAAACATGTCCGGGTAAATCCGGACGTATGGAAACCCTAACGTTTGTAAGACGTTGGGTTTTGTAACATATGACGTCTTTAAGATGTCTTTAGGATGTAAGCAAGCGTCTTGAATGTCGTTTGTGGACATCTTAGGGACGTCTTTGTTTCTTCTGTCTGGGGGTCTGTTTTCAGAGAAATCACAAACCCGTCATCAGAGTTTCAACTGTTTGTTGGCGATTTGCACCAAATAAAAACGCTCTGGGTTCGTGATTTCTGTGAGAAGAGAAACACGCGCTCAAATAACAATTATTCAATTCCCTATAAGAAATTAATTTGCCTTATACAGGGTGACCTCATTCAAAGATTAGGAGACTTTTGATATTGAAGACATTTTCCAAGCAGTATTCTGAAATTTCATTGACTGCTAGGTATTTATACTATTTCCAAGGGATGGAATTAATCATTTAATAAAACTTACTTTAAAAGTAACATTATTTATTTAATTCAGTCGTTTAAACGTAGCCTCACATTATTATGTACAGCTAAACTAAGTATAATAATTATTTTACAAGTTAAACAAATTTTTTTTTTGTCCAGAAAACTGTCGCAACTTGGAAGAGCTTATAAAAATTTATTACAACAAAATTATAATACTAAGCCTTATTATAGAATTATTAAAAAAAAAAAAATAAGTAGGTATATAAAGCACCAAAATACAATAAGGGGTTGTCCTATAAAATACAGACTAAAATTATATAATATCACAAAATCGGGGGAAAAAGGCAGTCAAAATACTATAATACATTACACATAAAAAAGTCAAAATAAAGAACGCGGTTTATTTCAAATAGACTACTTATAGCTTTGTTCCAACACATCAAGAAACCGTACAATGTACCGTCACGATTCTGCGCAAAACAAAAAATGTATGCTTAGAACCCGAAATTCCTATACAGAGGAGTTTCGAAACCGTTCATGGGACAGTTTTTGACGTGTTGAAACAAATCTAATATTTTTGAAAAAAGTCATTATTATTTTACTGCAGACATAAAAATGTAAAATTCCCTATTTGCATTATTAAAAAAGGGTAATAATTTAAGTACACGTTAAACAAATATTATTAAAAGTTACTAAAACTAATAGAGGACTATTTATAGCTTTTGGAAAGCATATTACAATAGTTTGTCATTACCTATGCAATAATTAAAAAATTAAAAGTTTTTTCTTTGTCTCAGTCGTTAATTTTAAAAACCTCGCTCCTTGCTTTTGGGGCACAAAATATCTCGTCTATAAAAATATCACGCAATTTTCAACACACATTATCAATAAGCACTCCGGTACCATGTATCATTATTTCATCAATTCCTAAATTTCCCCACACAAAAAACTGTCAAAAAAAATTCCGCAATTTTGTTCATTTATAATACCAATAATAGCGACAAAACTGCGGACCATAGCTTCATTCTTGGTTCACGGTTTCGTTGGACGTCGAGGGATGTTCTCGCGGGGCGCCGCACGTCAAGCACAGGTCGGCGCGTTGCGGACTTTTGGGCGGCAAACTGGGCGTCATTTCGTTGGGTGTCGATGCTCGGCTACTGTCTTCGTCGCCCGAACTGTCGAAGGAACATTGTCTCTGAATAAAGAGAAAGTTAAGCATACAAAGTTTATGTGTAGGAAAAAGTTTATATTTATTTATTACAGGGTATGCAGATGATGTAGTTCAAGGAAAAACAGTCCATGGTCATAGTAGAAGTTATGCAAACAGCCCTGCTGGTGCGAGAAAGCAAACCTCTTGGCCAACGCCAGAAAGACCGAGATAGAGAACAGAGGCAAATACAATCCAGACAGCACACAGCACACATGCTGTATTATGTCTGAATGTCTTAGTTTTAGAGAAGTCTTTACACAGACGTTGGGTTTTGTAACATACGGCGTCTTCAAGATATCTTCAACACGCCTAAAAGACTTGAGCAAGACGATTTGAATGTCGTCTGTAGACATCTTAGGGACGTCTAAGATGTCTACAAAAATTTCACATAGAATTCGCTTCTCATCAATTTAGAAGTTACTGGAAACCGTTTAGAATGCTTCAGAAACTTAAAGAAAAATAAGCCTTTTGGAAAATTCAAAACCCTTAAAATTCAATTTACAATTTCCAAAAGCATTTTAGAACAATTCAAAAGTTTGAAACTAATTTTTAGGACGCTTCAAAACACTCAAACACTCTAGGATCTCCAAAAACATTTTGAAAAGAGCCAGAATCTTCGGATTCAGGTTGAAAGTTACAAAACGCCTTTCTGAAGGAGAAGTATAGAATTGAAGTAAATTGAAGACCGAAAATGATAAACAATTATCAAAAGAGGATGGCAGTTTCGACAATGTTATTAGTAATTTCATGGAGAAAATGGGGAGAATGAAGAAACTATTACTATAGAAGGTAGAAAAACGGGAAACGAATCCGAAAAAATACCAACTCCGAGAAACCGAGTAGAATGTTACTGGTGCCATAAGCTTGGACATATTCAATGAGATTGTAGAGTAAGGATGTCCTCTCCATCTAGAGATAGTTTCGAACGCTTTTCGAGATCTAGAAAAGCCAGCCCTAATAACAGACAGGGAAACGGCAACTAACCAGTATGAAGGGGCGAATGCTGGTTAGTAATGACGAAGCCCCCAGGGTTGTTTACATAAAATCATTGGGCAGTCATTATAGAGGATTAAAATTCGAAGGACAAATTAATGGAGGATTTAAAACCATCATTTTTGATGCGGGTGCTGAAGTTTCTATAATTAGAAAAACATTAGTTAAGCCTCGGGCAATCCAACCGCTCACCAGAAACCTGTCACTACGAACAGTCACGGGCGAATCGGTACAAATTCAATGATGAGATTACTTTTGGATTTACCACCTTTAGGCACAGAACATTAGTCGCCGATATAGCGGATGATTTTATTCATTTAACGTGATTCCTTTCGGATTGCATAATGCTCCAGCTACGTTTCAGCGACTGATGTATCTTGTTTTGTGAGGCCTTATATAGAGAACTTGCCTGGTATATTTAGATGATGTCATGATCATGGGAGCTTCGTTCCAAGAACATCTCGATAACCTTGTAAAGAGTTAAGTTATTTGAGTGAAGTAATAATAAGTGCGTCAGAGTGTATAGTAACGACTAGAAGATGCGAAGTCTTGAATGTCGTTAGTAAACATCTTAGGGAGGTGTTTAAGATATCTGTCTGCTGCCTGGGAACCTGAGCATCTTCAGGAAAACGATTAAAACACTTGACGAGTCGAAATACTCAGGTCCTGGACGTCAAGTTAACATGATTCTCACATCTAGAGAAAACCATCAACAAAGCAAAAATGTGTCTAGTTAGATGCAGAAGTCTGTTGGGAAAAACATCTCTGCACCTTCAAATTTATGATTTTTTGAAGAAAAATTTCAAATGTTGAGTTAAGATTTGTAGTCCTTTAATTCAATTTACCTGTTGCTGATTCGTAATGACAATCGCTCGAATTTCCGGCAATGGACTGATGCTGCCCCGTCTCGGACTCAACGGTTGACTCACATTCGAATTTTCAATGATATGATCCTCTAAACCGTCGATTTGTAAAATACTCTCTTGACTTCCGGTAAACTGTAAATATGTAAAAAATTAACCCATGTTTTATTATTTTCGTATTTTTTCATATTGAAATCCATTTAAAGGCAAATTATAGTTCATGCATAGTTAAAAAAGCTTTATTTTGAGACTATAACAAATCAATGTTCACCTATGTTTGTGACAGTAATTTTTTGATTTTTTAATTATGTGAACATTTATTTGTTACAAAACAAGAAATGTCTGACTGAACTCTGAAAGTGTCCATTCACTTATTCCAAACTCAAGAGTCTCAAAATAATTTGTGTTAGTATGAACTACTTATTGAAAACATTAAAATTAGTTCTAAATAAAAGTTAGCACAAATGAATCAAGCAATATTACGGGAAAAATAAAATAGTTCATTACCTCCACCTAACAAATAAACCAAAAGTCTCCAGCATTTTTATTACAAAAAATAAACCAAAGTATAGGCAAATTCAATGTGGTGGGGGGTGGTTGTTGGTGCGACTTAATTTTTTGTGTGTATATGGTGTGCGCTCTATACATGTAAAATTATCACAGCGAAAAGGTAGATGAAGGTGCCCATAGCGGCGCCACACAAATTCTAGAAAAGTTCTAGCGACAGATCTACTTAGTTCTAGAGCAGGTAGCTATCGGGGTTGTACGGTACGGTACTGACCACAAAACCGTAGTGCTTTAGGATGTCCATTTTACACATCGGACACGTTCGGTGTTCTAGCAGCCACGGGTCTATGCAGTTTTTGTGAAATTCATGCCTGAAAACATTCATAATTTAAAACTTATTTATGTAAGTTTTGGTAACCGCTTACCCGCAAGGTAATATCCTTAATACGTCACTTAATTTGTAAGGTTCTATGCAAACAGCGCAGCATTCAATATCGCCTTGGACTTCCTAGTTGAAGAAAAGAAAATCACAAATGTTACGAAATTATAACAGTTAGTTTTAACAAGAGAACAGTAGTTAGTTATATAAGGTGATGAATTAGCAACCTTCAATAAACTTCAAAGTTCCTTATTTGTGAATTAAAAAGATAGCCAAGATATCCTAGTAAGTTAGTGTATTTTCTCAAATAGTAAGTAAACTACTTCAAATAATCCTCTCTTGAAAACAGCACAAACAATTTACCAAGTACCCACTCAAGTCTTTTCAAACAAATCACAATATATTTACCTTGTCCTCGGCCTTTAGATTTTTCGTTGGTATTTTCGATAATGCTTTTTTAGCCGCATTACCCAATTTTCTCTGCAAACAAGGAAAGGTTTAAACAAACACTTCAAGATGTTTTTAAAGCGATACTCACAGTAAGTTTATCTTTGGTGCGGATGTATCTGAACCTTTGTACGTAATAAAATCCCAGCCAAGTCAGGGAGATTATCATGAGAACTATGAAGGTGATAGAAACGAAAAGTACCGAAGTCCTGAAAAAAAAAACACATTAAATTTGATTGTTAAATTTTAAAGCAAAATATTTATTTAGTTATAGTTTGACATGATGGCATCGAAAATATGCTCACAGTTTTGGTAATTCTTAACGAATCAACTTATATTTTAGATTTTCTGAAGAGGAGAATTAAATTCTTTATAAAATTTCCAAAAACGAAGTCAATTGACTCTATAGACTTTGAGAAATTAGGCTTCAAACTTGAAATTTTACTGAGATTTTGTCAAAGTATTGAAGTACTCAATGAGAGCTACAATCTCTGAAAATTTTGATTCGATACCTTTCATGGTTACCCAGAAATTGTCAATTGAAGATTTTGAATAAAAAATCCAAAGGGGGTAGTGAAAAATCAAAAATTTCGAATTTTTATTTTTCTCAAATTTTGACTTTTTCTATCGAAAGTGGAGGTTGAAATTAGTTGATATCAAGTCCTACATTATTTCAGAAATTTTATGAGAAAAAAAAATCAAAAGAAAATCTCAATTTTGACCTCAGAACTTTTTCTATAGTTTGACATGGCCGCAGAAATATGCTCACAGTTTCAGTAATTCTCAACGAATCAACTTGTATTATACATTTTTTGAAAGAGGTTTAAATTGTCTATAAAGCATACAAAAACGAAGTGAATTGACTCTATAGACATTGAGAAATAAGGCTTCAAACTTGAAATTTTACTGAAATTTTGTAAAAAATCAAAAAACTGTAAGTGATGGAAATACTTACTAAAAAAAGTATTCAACTATTCAATGAGAGCTACAATCTCTGAAAAATTTGATTCGATACTTTTCATGGTTACCCAGAAATTGTCAAGTGAAGATTTTGAATAAAAAATCCAAAGGGGGTAGACTGAAAAATCAAAAATTTCGAATTTTTATTTTTCTCAAATTTTGAGTTTTTTTTATCGAAAAAGGAGGTTGAAATTAGTTGATATCAAGTCCTAAATCATTTCAAAAAAAGTAGTTTTATGAGAAAATGAAAATCTCAATTTTGACCTCAGAAATTTGTCTATAGTTTGATATGGCCTCAAAAATATGCTCACAATTTTGGTAATTCTCAACGAATCAACTTGTATTGTAGATTTTCTGAAAGAGAATTAAATTCTCTATTTAACCTTCGAAAACGAAGTCAATTGACTCTATAAACTTTGAGAAATAAGGCTTCAAATTTGAAATTTTACTGAGATTTTGTCAAAAATTACAAGTTCAAAAAACTTAAAAACCGTAAGTGATGGGAATATTTACTAAATAAAATATTGAAGCATGTAACAAACCCATATCTATTATATCTCCATATTACCTATTACCTATCACCACATCAAACGAAACTTGTGTTAACAGTGATTTGTTATATTGGCGCCCAACGTGGGGCCAGAAAAGAGTCATAAACAGTGACTCTGGAAAGTTCACACAAACTTTGCAAGTTTTGTTTTGTTTAATACTTTTATGATGCGGTTATTCCTATTTATTGAACTTTGATCTTTAAAAACTTTCACAAGAATTTATATTATGAGGAAAAAAAAATTCAATTTTGACATCAGAAATTTTTCTATAATTTGACATGGCCTCAAAAATATGCTCACAGTTCTGGTAATTCTCAACAAATCAACTTGTATTATAGATTTTCTGAAAAAGGATTAAATTCTCTATAAAACCTCAAATAACGAAGTCAATTGACTCTATAGACTTCGAGAAATTAGGCTTTGTAACAAACCCATATTTATTATATCTCCATATTACCTTTATGACCTATATTACCTATTACCTATCGACACGTGTTTCAAGTTTCAAGTTTATTTTTTTCAAAATAGTTACAAATATTGTTAAATTAAATTTATGTTACAATACTAATACAGGGTGTTTGGCAGAGGGTTAGCCAGACTTGGTGGGCGTATAGATAGGCCCATCCCGAAGATATTTTATTAATGCAATTGTGGCCTTAAGCTCCATTTTTTTTTCATCATTTGTTCTCAAGAATTTCCAAAAATAAACCTTTTAACTTCTGTAACTTTTTTTTTAAATATTTATGCAAAACGTTTGTTGCGTGTGTTTTTGGTCTCTAGGGTATCCTTGATAATATCAGAAAGTTAAAAGGTCTCAGAAGTTAAAAGGTCAATTTTTGAAAATTCTTGAGAATAATACAAAAACAATGATATAAAAAAAAACGGGGATCTTAAGGGCATTAGTGTATTAAGAAAATATCTTCGAAATGGGCCTATCTATACGCTCACCAAGTTTGGTGCTAACCCTCCGCCAAACACCCTATATATATGACTAACTAAAGCACCTAGATGACAACACCTGTATGTGCTTATTTTGATATTTGTAATTGTATTTAGAGATAAACTTTTTTACACGTTTACTATTGCGCTTATGGAAAAAAAAAGAATAGAAAAATCACTACAACCTAAAAATTACTTACTTATCTAATAATAATCTAGTAATGAAAAGCACAAAATTACAGCCATGTCTTATGTAAACTGGTAGAATTGTTTGTCAACTGTATGGTCAATCAATAATCCATCAATCAAATAATTTAAAAATGTTAAGAATTTTCTGAAAAATAAAGTAGTCATATCAAACGAAATTTGTGTTAACAGTGATTTGTTATATTGGCGCCCAACGTGGGGCCAGAAAAGTGTCATAAACATAAAGCCGTTCAGTTGCTTAGAGATGTTTTTGGCAGAAAGGAGCCAGCCTATAAGTTACTTCAACAGTTGTTCTCACAAGCACAAAATGAACTTAAGATGGAACTGTTTATTTGCAGTGCCAGAACTATTTTGTCCAAGTTGCCTTATACACTAGATGACATAGTCTGCCTAGACCTGGTATACGGCTTATTAGATAGGCGCATAACAGATAAAATTCCTAGAGATGACATAAAAACATTCCTGGACCTACTGGTGCGAAGCCGATCCATTGAAATTATGTTTGAAGAAATCCAAACCACAAATATGAATTCAAGACAAAATACACAAAGGTCAAGTAACAATAAAAATCGTGTAAGGCCAAAATGTGCTTATTGTCAACGTTTAGGACACCAGGTTGAAGAATGCAGAACCAAACAAAGAGATGAACTTCCTAGGGAGAAAAACGAAGAAAGAGGCCAAGATAAGAGAGAAAAAATTACTCCTACATGCTATGGTTGTGGAACACCAGGAGTTATTAGGACAAATTGCCCAAAATGTAAAGGAAGTACTTCAAATAATCAAAGCCAGCAAAAACCAGCCACACTATTTGGAATCGATGTCCCAAGTGATTCTTCCAAGCCGTCAAGACCTATTCTTCCAATAACAATTTTTGGTAAAAGTGGGCTTGCCTATGCAGACACAGGAGCCTCAAGGACCATTGCAAAAGAACGTTTTTCGTGACTTATAAAAACCATATTGAGAAATCATCAGAAATAAAATATGAAACAGTTACAATTACATTAGCAGATGGAAGCATATCCCCTCGGAAGGTACCTACTTTTTCTACAGGATGTAAACATAGAGGACAATACAGTGTTGACAAACTTCCTAGCTCTGCCTAATGCTGGATACACCCTACTTGGAGCCGACTTTATAAGAAATTTTGAAATTGTGCTGGACCTATCAAACCGATCTTGGCAATTTGGAGCGAATTCCCAAAATAAATATACTTTATTTTTAACCATATATGAAATGTTGTCATTACTGACTTTTCAAAAATTTGAAAATGTCACATTTCTGTCTTTTCATTTTCCTGCTCCATTACCTGTCCCAGGACGGGAAATGAGGACGGGAAATTTTTTCCGTCCTCATTTCCCGTACACGGACGGAAAATGCAGCAGGGAAATATTTCCCGTCCTCATTTTTCTCCTCATTTCCCGACCTCATTCGGTTGCCCCGAATTTTTTTTTTTAAGAAATTATGGTTAAAAATAAAATAGTATACAACCCTCGACGGGAAACTTCATTGCTGTCTCGAGGTTCATTTTATCTCGACGCTACGCGTCTCGATAAACTATAAAATCTCTCGACCAGCAATGAAGCATTTCCCGTTTCGGATTGTAATATACTATTTCCGGAGATTGTTGATGTTGCATCCAGTGAAACAACTTCACCGGCCATCAATGACTTTAGTTCTCTGAGCAGTAATGAAGGAACTATGTTACCGTTGGAGGAGTGGAATCAACTGAAGGAGATGTTACGAGCAAATTCACAAGTCTTTAAGTCCAGTGGTCAGGCCACGAAATTTGCCACATTGCACATTAGAACCCAGCCTAATGTTATTCCAATTTCTTTACCACCCTATCAACTTAACCAAACCAAACGAGAAATATTAAAGCTAGAAATTGATAAAATGCTTTCAAACGACATAATTGAAGAATGTGAGAGCCCATGGGCTGCCCCGTGGCCTGTTGTCATGGTGCCAAAACCCAATGGTAAAATCAGAGTGTGCATCGACTACCAAAAGCTCAATAGCATTACAATTAGCGACAAGTATCCAATGCCCCGAATAGATGACCTTTTACAAGGAACAAAACAGACGAAATACATGTCCATAATAGACTTACAGTCCGGATTTTGGTATATATCAGTAGAGGAAAAGGATCGGGATAAAACGGCCCTTTGGTCTATTCAGGTTTAAAAGGTTGCCATTCAGTCTTAAAAACGCTCCGGCTGTATTCCAGAGACTAATAGATAAATTCAAGACCGGTCTTGATGTCATGGTATTTGCATATTTGGATGATCTGCTAGTGTTATCAGAAACATTTCAGCACACTTAAACGACTTGCAAAAAGTACCTATTTGACCGACTTCAAAAATTCAACCAGAGAGAAATGTACTTTTGCCACTACAAACATTAAATATCTTGGTCATGTATTGACTTCTGAAGGTATTGTTGTAAACCCCGAGAAGATTTCAGCAATTTCTGATCTGCCAAGTCCAGAAACATTAAAGAACTTCGCACCTTTATTCAAACTTGTTCCTGGTATCGCAAATTCGCAGAGGCGCCGA